ACGTGCACGCCCGCACATGGTGTTTTGTGGAAGAGCCACACTCAAGGGGCCAAAGAGCCGCATGTGGCTCGAGAGCCACAGTTTGCCGACCACTGCTATCCACTGAGCCAAACCAACTAGGCTCTATTTTTCTTTAGCAGGGACAGCTTGGATGTTTCAGTCTTATGTCTACGAGAGATATACAGTAGGTCTTCCCCTCTTCTTAGGGATGCCGACAGGGCATCGTTATAGATGGGAAGTATGCAAGTATGATTCTTGCATTCAAAAGGAGCTTGCAATTTAATTTGGAGATAAGACAGATACATGAGAAGCTGATCAGCAGGCTAGCAGTCTGTGATGAGTGGCACCGGCAATGCTGATGCTCCCAGGAAGAGTGTGTAGGGAAGGCCCCTTGGGAATGGTACTTTGGGTGGGTGGTGAGCAGAGGGGCTGTTTGAATCAGAAGAGCTAACAATCTTGGGGTTTAATTACCAGTTCCCTAGCTTATAGAAGGTTACAGTAAGGAAAACAAGGCCTTTTTCTTGTCCTAACACCCTGGGTAGGAGAAGCAGCCCCGTCCTCTTGCTGGCAAACCTTGCAGTGACCTTATCAGAGACAGATCCTTGAAAGGTAATTCTCTTCCTCAAGCTCTGCTCCTTCGACTCCTTGTTACTTTCAAGGTAGAAATAAAAGTAAGGTCTCAGCACAGCCTAATGGAAAGAAAGAGCTTAGATGCCAAAGGCGTTGAGCTCCTGCAGGAACTCATGTAGGAGGCTGTCTGATGGGGGAGGCTGGATGGGGAGACTTATTTACTTACCTGTTACTCTGGTCTCAATGTTCTGCCAGTAACTTCTGGAATCAGCATGAAAAACCACGGGAACTTCCTCTGCTTTACTTCCGCTGCCTCCTCCCCATGTTGCTCATCATTCCACAGATGCTTGTAGGGTACATTTTGCCTGATGGTCTCACATCCTAGGCATTTGCCCAGAATGCAAAGGAACCACTGGCTGATATCTGTTCTGCCTTATTTTTCTGAGTCCATCAGAAGGAAGAATGGTGTGCTCTGCCCTGCACTTTCCTAGACATCCTCATCCCAGCCCCTGCGAGGATGCCTCCTGCCTCTGTGGACAGCCTTGGCCGGCAGCCTCGGGCGGCACTGAGGACATCACTCAGAGACAGCAGAAGGTGGCACTTCACGGAGGCTCAGTGTTTCCAGCTGGGCTCTGGCATCTCAAAAAGTGGCAAGAATTCTGTTCCAAATCTGATTTCAGACTTGGAACCAGGTCCTAGAAATTCCTTCTGGCCACACCACAGGGATGATGGGGGAAAACATGAGGAATGTCACAGCGAAGCGGCTGCCCTCTCCTTGCTCTGGCCCAGTGCCTCAGAGGAAAGGTGTGCTTCCTACGCTAACCCGAGTCTCAGCCAGTGTTGCTGTGAATAGTTATTACGTTCCCTCCAGCCACCATCCTTCCAGCTCATTTCCCCAGCAGTCAAGATTCTGTTTCAGCATTGCCTTTTTTTAAATTTTTAAACTAGCCTCTGGGAATTTCCTATTACTTCTCTTCATTGTATTAGTTTCATGCTTCAACTGTTTATGCTTCTATAACTACATCTACATTTTTGTCTCCAGTCCCAGGCTGATCTCAAACAATATCATCCGTGTTAGAGCATTAGAAGGAAAAAAGAAAAGCGCCTAGTAGACTGAGTGGCAGAGAAAGAATGAGACAACATCTGGGCCATCAAAAGCCCCTACTGCTCAAACCTCCTGGTTCGAAAATGAATTTGTAGTGAGCTTGTTCACATAGTTTCGTTTGCATGTGTCCTTCGGCCTCCCTCCGAGGTTTGAGGCACTGGTGAAATATATTTTCTCCAGTTTGGTTTTCTTCCCGATTAGAGTCCATTAACAGCCCGAAGTTTCTTCGGACTTGTTGAAAAGGCGTGAACTTTGTTTCCTGACTTCTCTTAGCAACTCGTCAGCTGCTTTTACTCAAAGGTTCAGTCCTGAGGGAGGCTCTCAGAGGGAGAAAACTTCTCCTGAGAGGACATACAGGTGGGTCTGCAGTGCTGCAAAGGTGTGTCAGTGTCTGAGAACTATGACATGTCATTGTTTTCACCTCTATTTGATAGTAATCCTGTGAAAAAGAGAGGATCATGTAAGAGAAGTAGTAAAATGCAGAGGAGTGCTTGGGATGGATGATAAGCACCAAATTCAGGTTGATGGTCACCTCTGGGAAGGGAGGAGTGAAATGAATAGAGGAGCCTACATCCCTTTGTGATTTTATTCTTAAGTTGGGGAGTGGAGACATGGGTGCTCACTCTATTATCCTTGATTGCTCTCTTTTTTTCTTAATGAGAAAGTCATTCATTACTAAATGAAAAAATTTTACATAATGTCCAGGTTTTAGAATGAACCTGAATTCAAATACTTTTTCCTTTCTTTACTAGAATGAGCAAATATCTTTAATCCTCTGAGTCTCAGTTTCCCCATCTATGAAATGAAGATAGTAATTTCTTTTTCCACAGGGTTATTTTAGGATCAAATGAGATAGCTCAGTGTTTGGCACATGCATTGAGCATCCAATTAAAATTATCTGTGATACTTCTAGAAGGCTCTTGAGACATGCTTGTTAAATTTTAAATGAAATAATGTCAGTTGTGTCAGGTGGGAAGAGGAGTAAATGGATGAAGAGAGTCAAAAGGTAAAAACTTTCAGTTATAACTTAAATTCTAGGAATCTAATGTACAGGATGGTGACTATAGTTAACAATACACTATTGTACATTTGAAAGTTGCTAAGAGAGTAGGACTTAAAAGTTCTCATCACAAGAAAAACATAAATTATAACTGTGAGGTGATGGATGTTAGCATATTGTGATAATCATTTCACAATATATACATGCTAGAGGCCCGGTGCACGAAATTTGTGCATAGGTAGGGTCCCCCGCTGGCACCCACCTTGGCTGGCCTGCCCTGCCCACCCCGAGCTGCCATGGCTGGTCCAGGCCAGCAGGCTGGGGGCAGCTCCTGCATTGAGTGTCTGCCCCCTGGTGGTCAGTGCACGTCATAGCAACCAGTTGTTCTGCCAGTCATTCTGCCATTTGATTTGCATATTAGGCTTTTATTATATAGGATTATCCTATCTAATAAAGAGGGAATATGCTAATTGACACTCATGCCATTGCAAAAGATGGTGGCACCCACAGCCAATAAGGAGGGGATATGCTAATTGACTGCCCCACTCTCAAAGATGGCGGCGGCACCCACCAATAAGGAGGGAATATGCTAATTGACTGCCATGCCCTCAAAGATGGCAGCGCCCACAGCCACTAGATGGCCGGCAGGGGGGGGCAGTTAGGGGTGACCAGGCCAGCAGGGGAGGGCAGTTGGGGGGACCAGGCCAGCAGGGGAGGGTAGTTAGGGGTGGCTGGGTCAGCAGGGGAGGGTAGTTGGGGGGGACAGGGCTGGCAGAAGAGGGCAGTTGGGAGAGCAACCGGGCTGGCAGAGGAGCAGTTAGGTGTCGATCGGTTTGGCAGGGGAGTGGTGAGGGGATGATCAGGCTGGCAGGCAGAAGCGGTGAGGGGCAATCAGGCAGGCAGGCAGGCGAGCGGTTGGGAGCCAGCAGTCCCAAATTGTGAGAGGGATGTCCGACTGCCGGTTTAGGCCTGATCCCTGTGGACATCCCCCGGCAGTCAGACATCCCCCAAGGGGTCCCAGATTGGAGAGTGTGCAGACTGGGCTGAGGGACACCCCCCCCCCCCCCGCAACCCCTA